AGGTGACGGAAAGCGCGCGTAGCGTCGCGATCCGTCAGCCGGGAGAAATAGCAAAGGGGGGGGGCTAGGCAGCCGGAGGATGATTCCGAATGGCCGTAATTTCGGTAATTTTCGGCCCAAGACGGCCCAAGTGAGCCCCAAGAGCGCCTAAGGGGCCCCAGGACGGCCCAAGACAGCCCCCAAAGCGCCGAAGACGGCGTCGGAGAGGTCCAAGAGGGCCCGAAGACGGCCCAAGAGCGTTCCAAGAGGGCCCAAGATGGCTTCAAGACAGCCCGAGAGGCCCCCAGACGCCCCAAGAGGCCCCCAAAGGGGACCTCCAAGAGGCAAACATCGCCCCACTCCCTAAGGAAAACGTGCATTTGTTGCTTACTCGCTTGTTTGGTATTCACAGCGCCCAAAACGGCCCAGGAGGCCCCAAAGTCCGCCCCAAGACACGCCCAGAGGCTACCAACACGGCCCATGTGGGCGTCAAGACGGCCCAAGAGAGCCCCAAGAGGGGCCAAGAGAGGCCCTTCAGGGTCCCAAAGTGTTCCCAAGAGAGCCCCAAGAGGGCCACAGGAGTTCCCCATTGGATCCAGGAGAGCTCCCAGAGGGCCCCAAGACGGCTTTCACCCTTTCAGTCCCCACGAGGTCTCGCCTACAAGGCTGCTAGAGTGGGCCTGCCCAAGCTGTACTATACTACCCTCAGGTAAATCGGCTCGCTTTCAAGATCCGATTCGGATCGGTGAGCATCCGGTTGGGGCTGGTTTGGGGCAATTGGCAGCGGCTGCGCGTAGACGGTGCCAGTGAGACTCGAGACGCAATCTCCGCTGAGCGGGTAGCTAAACATGGGGGTGCGTGCGCAAAAATGTTTGCTGATCGCGTTGTGTCGCTTCCTGTCCCCTCTGTAGCCTTCGGCTTCCAGAATCAACCGGTCCTCCCTCGCCACCCAGTTTTTCTTTTTCCAATCCAGGTATCGGTCAATGGCCCTCATCTTGGGGCAATTGGCAGCGGCTGCGCGTAGACGCTGCCAGTGAGACTAGAGACGCAATCTCCGCTGAGCGGGAAGCTAAACATATGTATTGTTTTTCGCAAGGCTCCTTGCTAGATTTTGGCATGTTGTGCCAAAGCCTTCACACCAGCAGGGCTCCACGGCAATAGCCAGCCAGCGACCTCACAGAAAGAACCCGCGCTTTCCGTCCCTATGCCAAGCAGGTGACGGAAAGCGCGCGTAGCGTCGCGATCCGTCAGTCGGGAGAAATAACAAAGGGGGGGAGTAGGCAGCCGGAGGATGGTTTCGACAGTTTTCGGCCCAAGACGGCCCAATTAAGCCCCAAGAGCGCCAAAGGGGCCCCCAGGACGGCCAAAGACATCCCCCAAAGCGCCGAAGACGGCGTCGGAGAGGTCCAAGAGGGCCCGAAGACAGCCCAAGAACGCTCCAAGAGGGCCCAATCTTGGCTTCAAGACAGCCCAAGAGGCCCCCAGACGCCCCAAGAGGCCCCCAAAGGGGACCTCCAAGAGGCAAACATCGCCCCATTCCCAAAGGAAAACGTATATGTTTAATATAATCGCTTCTTTGGCATTCGCAGCGCCCAGCACGGCCCAGGAGGCCCCAAAGACCGCCCCAAGACAGGCCCAGGGGCTCCCAATACGGCCCATGTGGGCGTCAAGACGGCCCAGGAGAGCCCCAAGAGGGGCCAAGAGAGGCCCTTCAGGGTCCCAAAGTGTTCCCAAGAGAGCCCCAAGAGGGCCACAGAAGGTCCCCAATGGGACCCAGGAGAGCTCCCAGAGGGCCCCAAGACGGCCCAAGCTCGCCAAGACGGCCCAAGAGGGTCCCAAAACGGCCCCAAGACGGCCCAAAAGAGCCCCCACAGGACCCCCAGGAAGGCCCAGACATGAAACATGTATTGATTTTCGCGCAGTTGGTTGTTAGATGTTGTCCATGTCGCACGGAAGTTTTGACGCAAACAGGGCTCCAAGACACTAAGCCAGCGACCTCGCGCCCTCACAAAATAAAGGTGCTTTCCGTCCCTTTGCCAAGCAGGTAACGGAAAGAGTGAGGCACGAGTGATGACGTTCTGGTGAGGCAAAGCCCTCTAGGGAGGGGCCCAGGGGAGGGGCGAGAGCCGGATGTATGAGTGTTAATGGCCGCTTGGGGGCAGTTTTACCGTATTTTCTGCGCGTAAAGCGGCTCGCGGGCGCTTTCCACGGCCCGTTTCTTTTTTTTTTGTTCTACTGAAGCGGCTCAGGGGCCCCAAGATGGCCCAAGAGGGCACCAAAACGACCCAAAGACGGCCCCAAGAGAGCTCTGGATGGTCTCAAGACGGTCCAAGAGAGCCTCGAGACGGTTCCAGAGACCTTCCAGAGGTCCCTCGAGGGCCTGAGGAGCCCCAAAAAATTGATGTCCTCAAATGTTTGACTGTTTTTGTGTGTTCTCGCCTTTTCGGGCCCAGCCGGGCCCAACACGGCCCATGAGGTCCCAAAGCTCGTCCCAAGACGGCCCCAGAGCCCCCCAATGAGGCAGAAAACGGTCCAAGACCCCCCAGGCGGCCCAAGACGGCCCCAAAACAGCCCCAGATGGCCCCAAGACGGCCCCAAGAGAGCCCCAAGAGAGCCCCAAGAGGCCCAAAGACGCTCCCAAGAGGGCCCCAAGAGGCCACCCCCCAAACCCCCCCAACGAGCCGCCCCCCCACCACCCCACCCCCCCACCCCCCACCCTCCCCCACCCCACCTCCCCACCCCCCCACCCCCCCCCCAGCCCCCCCCACAAAGCTTCCCTCCCCCCCCCCCACCCCCGCCCCCCCACCCAAGCGCATCCACCACACCCCCCCCCCCCACCCCCCCACACAACCACACCACAAAACCCACCCTCTCCCCCACCCCCCCCAACCCCCCCCCCACCCCATCCCAACCCCCCCCCGACCTCCCCCCACCCCCCCCCCCACCCCCCCCCCCCCCCACCCCCCCCTTGCGATCCCATCCCCAAGAGGCCCCCAAGAGAGCCCCAAGACGGCCGAAGGCTTCCAAGACGTCCCTAGACGGCCCACAAGGGCCCTAAGACGGCCCAGGTTTGCCCCAAAAGGGCTCCCGAGGGGCTCCAAAAGGGTCCCAAGAAGACCCCGACGAGGCCCAAGAGACGCTCAAGAACACCATGGCTCCCATCAGCGAGCGGTGACGTAACGAGCTCTTGACACCAAGGCTCCCCAGAACGCGGTGACGTACAAAACTCGTCACACCAAGGCTCCCGAGAGCGAGCGGCAACGTAACAGCCTCTGAACACCAGGGCTCCCAACGGAGAGCGGCGACGTAACAAGCTCTTCACAACAAGGCTCCCAAGAGCGAAGGGTGCCATGAGCCCTCTCGGGCCAGTTCCTGAGGCGCTCTTTCCGTTTACGCGCCGGTCCAGGTTCTAATGGTTTGAATTTCGGCAATGTTCGGCCCAAGACGGCCCCCCAAGAGCGCCTAAGAGGACCCAAGACAGCTCCAAAAGCGCCGAAGACGGCGACGGAGAGGTCCAAGAGGGCCCGAAGACAGCCCAAGAACGCTCCAAGAGGGCCCAAGATGGCTTCAAGACAGCCCAAGAGGCCCCCGAGACGCCCCAAGAGGCCCCCAAAGGGGACCTCCAAGAGGCAAACATCGTCCCATTCCCGAAGGAAAACAACGCATATGTTTAGTATACTCGCTTCTCTGGTCTTCACAGCGTCCAGAACGGCCCTTATGCCCCAAGACCGCCCCAAGACGGCCCCAGGATCCCCCAAGACGGCCGATGTGGGCGTCAAGACGGCCCCAGAGAGCCCCAAGACGGCCCAAGAGAGGGCCCCTGAGGGCCCAGAGAGATTTTCAAAAGGGCCCCACGGGGACCCAGTTGGGCCCCCAGAGGGCCCCAAGACGGCCCAAGCCCGCCAAAACGGCCCAAGAGGGCCCCGGGACGGCCCAAAAGGGCCCCAAGGCGGCCCAACAGAGTTGCAAAAGGACCCCCAGGAAGGCCCAGGGATGCAATGTTCATATCGATTTTCGCAAGGCTGGCTGCTAGATTTTGTTATGCCGCACCGAAGCCTTAACACCAACAGGGCCTAAGCCAGCGACCTCGCGCCCTCACAAACTAATCGCGCTTTCCGTCCCCATGCCAAGCAGGTCGAGTGGCCTTCGGCCCGTCACGCCACCGTGCCTGGGCTGTGGGTGTGAAGCTTCTCGGATGTTCGCTGGGATTTCCTGGGAGGCTGCCCTGGGGCCTCTGAGAGGCAGATTGGACGCCTCTTGAGGGCCGTTTGTGGGACTCTTGGGGCCTCTTTTTGGGCCTCTTGGAGGCCGTTTGGGGCCTCTTGGAGGCCTCCTGGGGGCCTCTTGGGGCCTCCTGGGTGTCTCTTGGAGCCTCCTGGGGGCCTCTTGGGGCGGAAGGTTTGGATTTTCGGTTATTATTCTATTTTTTTTGACCCTTTTGGGAGCCGTTGTTTTGGGGCCCTCTTTGGCCGTTTTGGATGCCTGTGGGGTTGTCTTTGGGCCTTCTTGGGCCCTTTCGGGATCTCTTGGAGGCCTCTGGGGCGGGGCCTTCTTGGAGCGGCCTTGGAGGCCTCCAGGGCCGTCTGGGAGCGTTCGGGAGCCGAAAATGCAAGGAGAACGCCCAAATCTTTCAAACACCAAAGGGAAAACATTGATTATGGCTCCTGGGGACCTTCTTGTGGTGCCTCTTGGGGGCCTCTTGGGCGTCTTGGAGGCCTCTCGGGCCGTCTAGGGCCATCTCGAGCGCCCTGGGGGATCGTTCGGCGACTCGGGGCCTCCGTAGGCCGTCGTGGGAGCTTCTCGGGGCCCTCTGGGCTCGCCTCGGGGCCCTCCTGCGCCCGAGAGAGGCCGGCGGGAAGCCGCGGCCAGCCCCCCAGGGGGCACGCGCCAAGCCAAGCCCAAGAGGACTTGAGAATTTTGGGTCCCAGGGTCCCGGCCCCGAATGGAGTCCTCGGGAATGAGGACTGAGGCTCAGGGGAGTGGGCAAAGGACCTGAGAGCGCGCCCACTCCGTGCCCAGAGGCACGGTGGCGGACATGCCACCCATCCTGCGGGCGCTCTCCGATGTAAGCTGCTTGGCGCAGTACAGTCTGCATGGGAGGCTGGCGGAGCTCCCTGCGAACTACGATGCGCACACGCAGCAGTTCAAGTTCACATGGTCATCCCATTTCAAATGCCACGCTTCGGTGGAAGGCGCAGGAGCAGAGGCGCCTCCGTTGTCGATACTTTCTTCCAGCGCGCCTGAGTTCAGGGGCGTCAGGAAAATTTGCTACCCGGATGGGTTGCCGATGGAGCTGGGCTGGCAGTGGAAAGGGACCATGATCAACCCGTTCTTCTTCGAGCCCCACCGGTGCCGAGACCTCTTCACGCGGCAGCTTCCCAAGGGGCAGGGCCTCCCGCCGCAGTGGATGATGCACCACCCTAGCGAGGGCGAGGTGCTGGCCAGGCAGTCCGAAATCCCACCCCAGCTCGCCAAGCTGGGCTGGTGGACCTTCGGCACGGTGCGCGCCAACCCCGGCCTGCAGCTCCGCAGGCTGGCGACCACGCTGCTCGGCCACGAGCAGGGCCGGAGGCTGGACCTTCACTCGGAGGCGCTCCTGAACCTCGCCCTGCAGGCGTCGACCCAGATCGGCCCCTGCGTCGCCGGCGAGCTGCCCGCGGCAGCGGCCTGGAAGCAGGATCTCGGGGTGCAGGAGTGGATGGAGGACTTCGCCCACGGGCTGAGCGACAGGGCGCAGGAGCTGGCGCACAAGCGCAGGGGCCACCAGGCCCTGCTGCTCCTCGTCGTGGTGGCGAACTATTTGGTCCAGTGGCACGAGGCGCCCTTCCAACGTGTCCTTCGCTCTTGCTGGAACGTGGCCGAGCGCTGGGCCGCGCAGGTGGCGGAGCTCCTGCAGAACACGGCGCACGAGGACACTGAGCGCCTCGCGGAGCTCCGTTGCCTGAGGTGCACCTTCGCTGTGTACGAGCTCCTCGCCAGACGCGTGTGCCCCAAGGTCTTGGACGCCGTGGCTGCCGCCCGATTGCTTGAGCTCCGGGTGCGCATCGCAGAATCCGCACTTCTGGACCAGGCCCTGGACCAGGAGCTCGCATGCTGGGTCAGCGAGACGATGCTGCACCGCGAGGCGGAGCTCGTCGCCTCCTGCGCCGGCCCAGGGGGCTGCACCATCCTCGGAGGTGCAGCCCGCGTCGTTGTGCCCTGGGTCGAGGCGGACTTGTTGTGGCATCAGGTTGATGCTGGGCCGCTCTTCACGACCACGTCCAAGAGTGGCGACGTCTTCCACGTGCACCTGCACACAGGGGTCGTCAGGCAGAACGGGCTCCAGAGCGGCCGGCTTCCCGATGCCATACAGAAGCACGGCCTTTACGCGCGAGTCTTCGGGAAGGCCTTCAGCCCCCCGGTCATGCAGACGTCGCCGACGGAGTTCAGGAGCAAGGAGGTCTTTGCGGACCGCTTCTACCGCTTCGCGGCCACCGCGTCCGGGGCGCTTTTGATCAGGGAGCTGAAGACGGCGGATGCAGACGACGGGGTGCTCCTGATCCCCCCCGGGCTCGTGGCCTTGCCTCCGCCTCTCGTGGAGGCGTGCAGCCATTGGCTGGACTGCGCCACCGGCCGGCTCGAGGTTCGGCCAGAGGACTGCAGACAGAAGGCGCCGTTGTTTGTGGCGCAGCTGCGACGAGTTGGATCGTTGCTTCCTTCCCTTTCCTTGTACGCGGACGTGCACAGGGTGGCTGACAAGCGCAGGCTGCTCCCGACATTGGCCACGGAGCTCCGGCCAATCACGACAGTGCTGTCCAAGTTCGACGACGCCCAGTACATCTTGTGCTTCGGCGCTGAGGGGACCAGCGAAACAGCATCTGGCCCCTGCGAACTGCAGCAGGTCGAGTTCTTTCGCGACGGATGCTCCCGCCTCACGTTCCACGTGGGGGAGGGAGGCGAGCTGGGCTCGGTAGATTTCCGCGGGTACACGCTGCGCCCATGCCAGCAGGTCGAGACCCTGCTCGGCATGGAGCAGTACCTGGTCCTCCGCGCCCGCGCGCCGACGGAGGGGCAGCGCCCAGAAACGGTGGTGCTGATCCCGAACGCGATGGTACAGCCCGCAGTGCCAATGCATGTGCAGACGAGCACGCAGGGTCGCATCGTGTACAGGGCGCTCGCCGGGCAGGACGACCCCGACAAGGGACTCCGGCCCAAGAACCCGTCCTCCGCGCTCTCGCTGGCCGATCATGTGGAGAAGGGGTGGGAGGAACGGGTGGCCTCCAGGTACCTGTCCGCCACACTGGACCCCGTGGTCGCGCTCCTGTACTCGGCCATGGCGATCGCCAAAGGCGCCCCCCTCGAGGGATTGCGGATCGCAGCCATCGACCTGGCGATGCTTCCGGACGCTACTGAAGTCGTCGACATCTCTGACAATGTGGCCTGCACGGCCGCGGGCTTGCCGCGGACGGGAAGGGCGTCCCACCTCGGGATCGGGCACCGGATGGTATGTCTCGCAGGCGACGTCCCTGCCGCCGCGATCGTATCTGTGGTGTCATGGCTTCAGGTGCTCGAGGCGAGCGGTTGCGAGGCGAAGGCGCTCATTCCCCTTCAGCAGCACTGTCAGCGCATCCGTGAGTTCCGGGAGCACGTCCCATCTGCCCTTCAGGAAGCACTGTTCAAGGCGCTGCAGCCGAGGCGCTCTGGCCCCGACCAGGCCGAGGTTCACGACGCCGTACCCGACGCCGTACCCGACGCCGTATCCGACGCCGTCCCCGACGGCCTTCCCGACGACCTACCCGACGGCCTTCCCGACGTCATACACCGGTGTCGCGTGCACTTGCCTCACCAGTCAGGCCGATCGCCGGAATTCTTCGCCTTCGCGCTGGATCGAGAGGTCGGCCGTCTCAAGTCCGAGAGGACAGACGCCAGGCTCCTCCTGGCCGCCTGCTACGCGAAGTGCCACTCCGCCCTCCCCGACCCGCTCACAGGAGCCACAGGGGTTGAGGCGGCGATCGAGGAGCTGCTGCACTGCTGGCAGAATAAGCCGTACACCGAGAGGGAGCACGAGGTGATGTCAGAGATCTTCGAGGAGGGCTCGGGGCGGAAGTTGGCGTTGCGCTGCCTGGCCAATCTGCTTTGGGCGGACAGTCAGGACACCTACTTCATGCACGGCTTGGAGAGGCCGCAGCAGTTCTGCAGGAAGTGGGATCCAGAGGAGGACACGCTGGAGCTGGCGTGTCGAGTGAGGGAGCTGATGCCGACATCTGCCTGGCTCCCGGCGGCCGCAGAGATGCAAGTCTTCGGAGGCCAGCTCCTCGGTAGAGACCGCGCTCTCAATCGCGCGGCCCCCGGGGCCACGGATCCAAATCACCACTTCGAGAAGGCGGCGTTCGTCCTCTTCGCGCCGCAGCTTTTGCGGCGCGACTTTGCAGCCGAACTGAAGAAGACCAGCTTCTACATGAAAGATGTTGCTTGTGAGGCGCCAGCAGGAAGCTCTGTGCTGGACTGGGACGCGTGCCTGCGACCAGAGACCTTTCTGGCGCTCTACAGCGAGGCTGCGGCAGCTGCGGCAGCGCCCCGGAGCGACGGCCGCCAGGCGTTCTTCTTGAAGCTGGCCTTCTACGCAGTGTGCAATTCAGCCAGCATTAAGGATGAGACGTGGACCTTGCTGCAGGTTCTATTTCTCGTCTCGCAGCATGGGAAGCGGCCCAGCATTCCCCAAGCACCCCGGCGCCTCCTCAGCTGCGACACGGTTCCACGGTGTTCGACCCATGCGATCTCAGAGCTGACCTCTCGGATAGCTTCGATCAACGACGACATCACGTCCGAGCTCCGCAACCCGCATGCAGACCACCTGATTTCAGCGTTGCGGAGGCAGGCGCAGGCCGTGGAGACGAAGCGCGACCTTGCCCAGGCCCTCAGCGACTTCTTCGACGAAGTCGGAGCCTCGTGCAACGCCGCGCGATCGCTGGTCCTGGCCCCCCACTTGCCGCGAGTGCTGGCAAACCCGACGAGCCCAGAGCTGCCGGGCGTCGTCGGCGCGGCACCCTCCGTCGGGGTTTCACTCTGCAGCAACGCCGTCGGCGACGACGGCCTGGTCGCGTCGATCGAGGCAGAGCTCCGCTCTTGCTGGCGTGTGGGAGCTGCGACTGCTGCGACGGCCGGCGAGGGCGAGGGCGAGGGCGGCGAGGCGAGGGCAGCGGAGCTCGCGGCGAGGCTCGATGCAGCGAGGGCGGAGCTGAAGCGGGTCAGCGAGCAGGTCGATCGGCTGCGCCAGAGGGCCGCGCGGCGAGACGAGGCGGCGGACGACGAGGGCGACGAGATGCAGGAGGACTCCGAAGAGGAGGGGCGCCAGGCGGAGCTGCAGAGCCGCGAGGCCAGGCTCAGGAAGGAGGTGAAGTTCCTCGCGAGCGCGCGAGGCCGGGCGCGGATCGACCTGACCTTCCCTTTGGGTGGCTCCGTGCCCCCCCTGGCGGACGATGACGTGCTGCAGCGCCCCCTGGGGAGGAGCATGATGGGGGAGCTCCGCGAGAGCTGGCTCCTGTACATGCAGGAGCTGGCCAGGCCGAAAGCCGTGCTCCTGCGCCGGGACAGCGCATGGTATCATGCCCTCCTCGCCAGGGTGCAGGAGATGCGGCGCACGGCTTGGATCGATCTGCGTGCCGCTGTGGACGCCCTGCCAGGCGGCGCGCACGGCGCAGCCCTGCGCCTCGCGCGCCTGGGCCGGGTCACGCCCGAGGCGACCACGCAGCAGGTGCTTCGCTGGGCGGTCGCGGCCGACGACGACGACCTCGCTGCCAAGGTGGCCGAGGCGAACCCGGCGATCAAGCCGTCGGAGGCCCCGCGGATCCGCGAGTACGTTATCCTCTGCTTGGTGCTGGGGACCTACGAGCATAAGATCCTGAGGCTGCTCGCGCGGCTGCGCGAGCTGCCTGGCGGTGACGGCGGCGGCGTCGAGATGGGGGGAGGCAACGATGGCGGCGGCGGCGGTGGCCACTCGCTCGCGGAGGGCGCGGTGGTCGAGGAGCTGCAGACGATCCGCACTTGGGACCCGCACTTGTGTCCGGAATGGCTCGTGCTCGAGTTCGAGA